AGGACTCAAGCTGTTGAGCTACCAACCAGCCCCAAAGGCTGTGAATCTCACCAAAGATTAACCACATAATAATTATAATAATAATATAGGACACTGGTAGCCACCTGTATCAACCATTAGCACCAGTCAAAGGTATTTGTGATGCATTTTTGAATGTTCAGTTGAGTTTCATGTTTAATGAATAAAGTATAATAATAATAATTCTTTATTGTCAGTGTACATATGTACAATGAGGTTGGTTGACAGAAAAGCAAGCCTTTTACTTCTGTCCACTTTTCGAAGTTCCACTTGTAACTTATTTTTCTGTTCATAGTCTTGTCTTACTACGAAGCATAATAATTGTGCTCCAACTCCCATTACTTCTGCCTCTTCGAAGCCTTTTGACATCAGTACTTAAGTGGGGAACCTTCCATTGCACATTTAGCCCTCTGAAGCACCCAAATATTTTGCCTTCTCCTTGAAAACAGTTAACACCCGTTTTACACCTGTTCTTTCCCTCCTTATGAGGGGAAGAACAGTAATAATAACCTTCAAAAATATGAAGTTTGAAAGTTGTGGGGTTCTTTTTAACTTCTCTGTTGGAGGCTGCCTAATTTACCGTGGCTTTCCAGAAAAATAAGTACACATTGCTGAAGGCACAGCAATTATGAGATGAATTCATTATTTCCAAAGGTAATGTATCATAGCCAATAAAGGTTTTTCATTTTACCTGCATTCTTGATATGTAGACAGGTTTGTTCATTAGTATCCAACTTGCTGTTTCATAGCAGGGTGGAATTGTCATGGACCCATCATATGTAATGAAACTAGAGGTTTCAGGATAAAGTTCCTCAATATTAAGTCCCTGCAGTAAGTATGCATCATCTAGGAAATAAATTACGGTAAAATTATCATGAGAACAGAACATTCACATTTGTGAGATGAAGACCGTCAACTGTCAGAGTTTAACTGGTAATTAAATGGATCTAAATCAGGAAAATGTTTGAATTGCTAGGCTACTCTGCCAACGTTTATACATTGAAGTGGGTTAAGCTGTCTCTAGAAGTGGGCAATCTGCAGCTGCAAATCCTGGTTTCTTTCTCATGTACTGCAAAGCTTTTCCACACACTATGAGCAAAAAATGATATTGTGATTTCCTTGTCATTTCAAAATGTGTGGTGTATCAGACCTTATTTTACAAAGGAAGAAAAGTCCAAAACTCTCTCCTAAACTCGGATGGGGGGAATCCCAGTATGGTCCAGTTGCATTAAATGCTTAGACAGTACTTTATGATCTGCAAGGGTGCATAAAAATAAATGATATTTTTTTAAAAGAAGGATTTTTAAAATTTACATCAGATTTATGGGATTTTTATCAAATTTATTTTAATAAAATGCTTTAGGAGTAAACAATTATTCCACGTGAAATGGAGCTTAGTTATGTAGCACGAGACTGTATATTCTGCAATATTGCCACTGCCGGTGAGTCAGCAGCGGGTCAGAGGAGGAGCTACTGTGGGACAGAGATGACAGTTGCTCTTTAAAAATTATGATTTCAATTGAGTTGATTTAAATCAAATCCACCCTGTGGTCTGTATTGTGTGTTCTGCACTGGTTACCAGTTCAGTTCCTAAGTACAACTTAAAGTGTATCAAGGGTACCGACCAGTGGTGGATTTCAATTTATTTTACTACCGGTTCACTCGTGTGTGCAGGCTTGCACAACACTTATGCGCATCTGCCTTAGGCCACCACCACTACCGGTTTGCCAGATTTGGGGTGAACTGGCAAAAGCACACCTCTGGTACCAACACAATTGCTT